GCTCACTTCACCTACAGAAAAGTAAACCTTTAGAGGCTAAATTTATTCATGGTGTTAAATCAGTGGGATGAATTTGGTCCGTTATTGTACAGAGTATCCTTCCCACACTAGGACCAAAGAGACTTCAAGAAGTAAAATAAAATCAGTATCTTTATCATATGATTTTGACTCTAAGTTACTCAAATTATATGGATAGAACTTCAAAAGACAATGGAAAATAGGTACAGCTAATATTGCTGCATAGTAGAAAATTCCTACCTGTTAAATTCATCTATGAGTTTCCTTCTGGCATGATAGTTTGAGCTCTCCAGACACTCTTCCCAACACCTCTGCACAGTAAATCCCTCAAGCTTTTGGTTAAAGTGGGTCAGGTCTCCTTCATTGTACAAATTCAGTTTTCTCACCTTCCCAAAGAAAGATATATCCAGGACTGATTAAACATAACGTATACAGTGCTTCAATCTGAGTCCCTCAATTGAACAGCACTGGGTGCATCTACATGTTCATTAATGAGTTTTTCTGTTAAGCATTAAATTTAGTACCTCTAATGTGGGGTACTAACTAAATGCACATTAGGCTGCCCTACTGCACCGTAGTGAAAGTGAATGCTTTTTTAATGACATGTAATGCGCAGTATCCTATCTTTACTGCACATTAGCATATTAGCACAGTTTCTGATGTGACATTTTAATGGGCAGTAAAATAAGTTATTGCAGATTAAAGTGTGCAAGTAGACATGCCCACTGAGACCAAATTTACCTTCAATTCTCATACTGTGCTCATAAAAAAAACATGGTGACGTGATCATGGGCTAGGTTTTTTCAAGAAAAAGGTTATGGGATTTAGACACATAATCCCGTGGAATTTGGGCCTCTAGCTCCTTATGTTCCATTGAAAAAGTTGGCATTAAAGCTAACACTAGACAATGAGACAAAGTTGAAATTAGAAGATGAATTAAGTGAAGCAGATTATAATTCAAGACTTCCCTGAGTGATTTAGCACTGACAAACAGAAAGGAGAATTCCTGTGCTTACCACCTACTTACTGTAGTATGTCAAATTCCTGAGGCTTTGCTAGTATGCTGCACTGCACTGAAATATAATTCAAATGATTTGTACCTGCTCTGCTGGCAGGCCACACTTCATAGCAATGTCATGCATCCAGCACTCAGCAATCATCATTCCCTGTGGACCACCAAAGCCACGGAACGCTGTGTTGGAGGAGAGGTTAGTTTTACAGACGATGCCCAGGCTGCTGACATTAGGGATGTTGTAAGCATTATCCAAGTGAAACAAAGCCCTTTCCATAACCTGGTGAAAGGCAGATACAAAAAAGGAGAGGGGGAATTATTTTTTTAACATATTTCCCATGCCAGATTTTGCCCTTCTTACTGGAGCAAGACTGAGATGCAGCAAGGGCTCGTGTATGAAACGGGCTGCTTTACCTTATTGCCAAGAGCATACAATTACCCCACCAGGGGAGTGAAGAGGCAGGGGCATGGCTACACTCTCCTTTTTCACTGGCAGACAAGGTTGGCTGATATCAGACAAAGGCACTTGCTGCATCTTTTCAAAGGCTGTTGCAACATGCATACTCCCTCTGTGAACCCTGAGGCTCCAGGAAGGACTGTGACTTCTGAAGCACAGTCCTCTTAAAGTTCCTCCTGGCCTCATTCTGTCCCATGCCATTCCCTACTTCAGGCTGTGGCTACAGGCCACAACCCAATGGGTGGTGTTCAGCTGTTTTCTAAAGTCAGTGTTCTTGAAATCACCTGCTTGGTCTAGATTTTGACAGTATTATGGAAGATTGTATATCAGATTGAAAGACAATGCTGTGGCAGAGTTCATGCTGGAGATAGCTCAGAGAGCAATCTTTGGTAATAAAGATTGAGCCAAATTCTGATGCCAGTTACAATAAGGAACATAATGCAAGAGTGGCACTGGAGGCAGCTGAAAGATAAGCTCAGTTGTCTGAAATGAAATGCAACAAGCTTTACATGCTGGCTTACAGAAATGTTGAGTCAGTGTTTTATTAACACTGACTATTTCTTTTGTTATCAAACAGGAGGTTTTTCTTACTTACACCATAAGATAGGTCTACAGAGTTGCCACCATTGGAATAATAGGACACCTCCAGACTATTGACTTTCCCATTGTTCATAAAGCCAACCTGCCAAAAAACAAACCTCTTCAGATTATATTTACCAGCTACATAAAAACATGCAGACATTAAGAACCTGACAAGCTTTCAGGGGTGTAGGTTGTAGCCATGTTGGTCTAAGGGCATAGGGAGACAGGGTTCTTTGGGTGAATCTGATATTTTTATTAGACCAACTTAAATAGTTGAAAAAAAAATTGTTTTTCCAAGATTTCAAATTTCAGTATTCAGCTGCAAAAGGCAACTTTGTTCCTTCCTTCAGAAAAAATTAATGTTTTTTATGATGATGAATGGTGGCATCTTAGCAGCACACCATTTATGCAGCAGAACAACTATTGTACAAGCAAAACTTCTAGAAGCTTCCCCACCACTGTGGGTCACACCCTCACCCAACAAGGCACTTCTCTAAAATGTAGTTCATCCATGGTGACCAAGCCCTCTTTATTTCAAAGAACAGCCAAATGACAATTTAAGAGAAAAGTTAAAGGAACATGGAATAGTGCACAATTCCAGCCAATTCATGGACATCTAAGACCACCACAATGGTCACCGTGCCACTTATTATGGCAGGGACAAGCAATTATTTCAGTTGGAGGGCCACTTAACGAGTTTTGGTGAGCTGTCAAGGGCCACATGGGAAGCCCCACCCCTTGACAGGTGCCCTGCCCCTGGTCACCATCTTGGAACCAGAAGTCTTGGGACCCCTGACTTTGCCACCAGAAGTCCTTCCCCTTGCCCCCATAAGTACTCCTTTTAGGAAGGGGGTTTGCCATCTCAGAACCAGAAAAAAACAAATTATATACTAAAAATCAAGCACTGACAAAAACATATTTTAATTTTATTTTAAAAAAAAATGTCCTGTTTTATGTTTGTTTGTGAGGTGTATATAGAGGTGATTGCATAATAGCTCAAAATGAATTCTTACTCTTGTATATTGTGGGGGGGGCATAGGTGGTGGGTATGGGGTTTGTGGGGAGCTCTGGGTGTGTGTGTGTGGATGTGTGTGCATGTGGGATGTGGGTGGCTGGGTATGGGGGGTGTCTGTAGGGATGTGTGGGTGGGTATGGGGTTTGTGGGGGGCTGTGGGGTGTGTGGAAGTGGAGGTTGCCTGGGGGAGTGTGTGGGGGGCATGCATAGTGGGGTGGATGCGTGTGTGTGGTGGGGTGTGTGCATGTAGCAGTCAGCGGGGCTCCCCACAGAAGCACACAGGTTTGTGTGTGTGAGAAGGGGTGTGGGGGAGGGGGTGGATGGGTGCAATATTTGTGAGGCATGCAGGGGAGGGTTTGTGGATATGGTGGGGTGTGCATGGGAGCCTCCCTGTGCACTCCCCTGAAGCAGTCAGCACCCTGCCCCGCAACAGCCCGGAGCCCTGCATCCTGTGGCACCTTCCCACCACTGTCAACAGTGTACAGCCCCAGCTCCACCCCACCCCATGGGGACTCACCTCTGCGGGAGTGGATCATCTAGAACCCAGGCACAGCCCTGATCCAGCCCACCCCGTATCTGCTTCGCACCACCCACCCACGGCACATCCTGCCACCCCCTTGGCACACAGCAGGGCTGGGGTGGCTCTGCGGCTGGACTGCCTTTCTAGGCAGCCCAGGTGGCAGTGGCTCCTTCTAGTGGCTGCCACTGCTGGCCCCATCCTTGCAGTACCCCGGGGGAGCTGTGCCACACAGCCAGGACCCGCCCTGTCCTGCACCTGCTCCAGACTCACCAGCCC